CTGATCATCGAGCTGCCCGGCTCCAGAGCCCGAGCCTGATCCCTCATCGGCGCCAGAGCTACCAACTGGTCTAGTGCGTAGCATCACCATACTGAAAATACACCATAACAAACATCAGATTACTCATCATAACTCGAGGGATCACACACACTACAAGTTCCCTGGATTCATCTCAACTCTCCTTGAATCGAGTACATATCCTCTTCTTTCAGTAGTATGGGCCCATACTACCTTCCACATCTATCCGTACTACTACTTCTCTTCATGCTAATCTCATCCTAGGCTTGCCCTAGGGTAACCTCTGACCCACTCTCCGCCATCAGCTGCATAAGAAGTCCATGTTATCTCCCCCTAACTAGCTCGCAAATACCATTACATATCACTAAGACCAGATAATTCTTCGAATGAGAGGTCCTACCCTACAACGGTTAGACTCAAATGAGAGTTGTGAAATAGAGCTAAACCTAACCTTCTGAATTATTTAGTCCCCGTAATATGTAACTTAACATATTAATTTACTAGTTAGTTAAAGATAACTAGAACTCCTAAAAGCACAAAGCAAGCAGCATTCGAGCATTGAGTAAACAAATCCAAGCATATCCTAACCAGGCCATCACATCATTGACTAATCAGTACTAGCATGCAGTTCATAAGCTCATACAGTAGGCATATCCTTCCTAGATCCTTAGCCCTAATCTAGCATGCAGTTCTCATACACATATAAAAGGCATACAAGGCATCCTTCCTAGATCCTTAGCCCTAATCTAGCATGCAGTTCTCATAATCATATCATAGCATAACAAACATGTATGGGTAATTTGGGAGAACTTACTTGAGCTCGGTTGATTGCATGCACCACACCCTTTTCTCTTTTCAAAAATCCTTTTTATAAAAATGGTTTTTCTTTTAAAAAAAATTATACCAAGTCCTCAGTTTGAGTTCAGACATACCCGAAAGTATGCCCGAATCCCTCAAACCAAGGCTCTGATACCAACTTGAAACATCCCAAAAATCATGACAAAAAATTTTCGTTTTAAATTATTAAATAAACCATTGTTATAAAATCATCTCATCCAAAGTGTAAATCATAGTATCTCAAAACATCATATCCAAAAACATATGTCAAAATATCTGAGTAAACGTCCCAGGCTACAACATCGTGGTGTGTGCAATGCATTCATCCCAAGCTCTTCCCCTTGCTACCGAAAGTACCTAATACCAAAACTGAAAACTGTAAGCACGAATCTTAGTGAGTCTCCCCAAAATACCACATACCATACACATAATCAAATATTCACATAATAACATAACATGGGCCTAGCCTATTTCAGCGGGCCTCGCCCGGCATCGGACAATGTCTGGCATCGTCCCCCCCCCCTCCCGGCATCGGACCGAAATCCAGCATCGGGCCCTCCCGGAATTGAGAAAAGCTCGGTATACATATAAACATATCAACAAATACACATAAATAATCACATAACATAAACATATAAACATACCTCGGGCCCCGCCCGGCATCGGACTGAAATCCGGAAGCATACGAACATTCCTCGGGCTTTGCCCGGCATCGGACCGAAGTCCGGAAACATACAAAATAGACACATGCAAGAATCACGAAGACATCAAGCGTAAAAACATTCCTCGAGCACTGCCCGACATCGGATCAGAATCCGGAAACATATAAACCTACATCGAGCACTGCCCGGCATCAGACTTTGGTCCGGAACATACTAGCATACATATACGGGCCGACATTGGTGCCTTCGACCCGTTCATACAGGTCACCTCCAATGTCGAATGATAGCTGAAACGTCTCTGTCCTGAAATCAGCTCTACACACTACCTGAATCAAAACAACCCCTTAGATACCATTTATACTCATACTTCTTTATAGGTCAACTGTGGTCAAAGTCAAAGTCAAGGTCAAGTCAAAGTCAACGCTCCGATTTGACTCAACTCGTCAAGTTTGCTCTTTAACTCGTCGAGTTCCCATGAATCACAGAAACGTGAAATCGCGATCCAACTCATCGAGTTTTCCTTCAAATCGCCCAGTTCTTCCCTTTAACAGAATCTGGACAGTTCGACCCAACTCGTCGAGTTCCCCTATGAACTCATCGAGTTCTTCAGTCAATTAGCCCTTCTTAATGCATTAAGTCACCATTCCTCAAACCAGGGCCCTATCTTCTAGATCTAAGCTGGAAATACGTCTAGAAGGGTAAAGTTTCCTACTTTACCCGTTAAGAACCTCTCCCCAAGGCAAAAAATCAAACCCTAACTCAAAATGATATAGATCCGAAATCAAAAGCCAACAAAACGTTAAGATAGACCATAAGGTCATAGATCTGGACTCTAGGGACCAAATAATCACGTAAAGTCTTAAACTTTATCCGCATCCATGGCCATAAAAGCTTCAAAAGACCAAAATGGTGGTCTAGAGGTTGCATGGGGTTCCATGGCCATAAAGTTGGCACCTTTATGCCATGAAAACCCTTCAATGCCCTAGATCTGAAATGTTCTTCACTTGGGACGTCCGAGTCCCAAGGATCATACCATTTGAACCAAAACAAGCAAAATAACCCCAAAAGGAGATCTAATCAGCTACAAATCAAGGTTCAAGCTTTATACCAATAAAATGTCGTAAATGAAGCAAGGGGTTATGGATCTACAAACTCCTTCTTGTGTTCTCAAGCTTCTCCTTCTTCCAATGGCTTCAAAACACACACTAAAACACTTGAAATAGCTCACAAATACTCACAATAGCATTAGGGTTTCGAGATTTAGGGTTTGGGACTTGGAGGCTGGAAATGAGTCCAACAGGGAAGGTTTAAGACGTTTAAATACGGTGCAAAACCCAGAAATTAGGGTTTCAAATCTGCCAGCCTACTCATCGAGTTGAGGCCTCCCAACTCGTCGAGTAGGTTACTTAAATTATGCGGCCCATATGATCTCTACTTGACGAGTTTGGGGCTTCCAACTCGTCGAGTTGCTCTTATAAATTGAATAATTAATAAATTAAATACATACCAGGAACCAAGCGTTACAGCAAGGTACGTTGCACGTATGCATATATGGCCTTGATGCCTCGGACGCTTGTACGCCCCACATACCTCCTCAATACGCCCCGCGTACGAGGCTAGAGTCAACTCGACTGTGTTGACTCGTTGACTTTGACTTTGACCAAGTTTGACCAAGGGGTATTTTGGGTATTTTGAAAGGTGTTTGAGAATTTGTCATTTGGATGAATAGGTGACGGTTAGAGCTGAGATTCGGAGTTGGGACCTCATCAGCTATTGTTCAGACTATGAGGTGAGTTTTCTCACTGTACTTACGGTTCGAAGGCATCAAGGTTGGCCCATTGGATTGATATCCTGCTATACATTGATATGTTGAGTATAGGATAGATATGTATGATTATATGCTAGTTGCTGGTATGCGTAGACCGGTAAATCTGTAGGACTACCTGTGATTTCTGATTGCATGATTATCTGTTTGTTGATTATATTTGTTATCTATTATATGTCGACATATTATATTGGGTTGAGACTTTACTGCTTTGTGCGTGAGTCAACAGACCGGGGGGTATTCCAGTCCGATGACTGAGTGGACCCGAGGGTATTTCAGTCCGATGACTGAGTGGGCCCGTTGTATATTGGTATTCCAGTCTGATGACTGAGTGTACCTGTTGTATATTAGCATTCCAGTTATATGACTGATTGGGCCAGGAGGGGGGTAATCCAGCCCGATGGCTGTGGTCCTGTGGGTATTCCAGTCCGACAACTGATTGGACCCAACATGCTTGTCCGTTTATTATATGTGTTTTGTGTGGTGGTAATTTGCGAGAACTCACTAAGCTTTGGCTAACGGATTTAGTTTATTGTTTCAGGTACTTCTGATGACCGTGAGAAGGCGAAGGCGTGACCATACACATCCTCCTGTTTTATTGGTTTATGATTTTGGGATACTCTGATATTGATAAACACTTTGGAAACAGTGATTTTGTAAACATTTTATGGTTTTGAGTTGTTTTAAAAAGTTTAAAATTGTTGTGATTTTTTGGGATGTTACATATTTACTAGAAAATTGGTTCTTAAGTTATTACACAAATATTGGTTATCATGCTAAGTTAACCCATATATATATATATATATATATATATATAGATATATATATCTATATATATATATATATATATATATATATGAAAACGAATTATAAATAATTAGGATATTTATAAATTGTAAATAATAGTTGATGTGTAAATGAGGATAAATTTTGAAAAATATTGACATCTTACATTGATGTAGAGCTAATCACAAAAACTAGCATGTCATTATTGAAAGAATAATGACATTGACAAGTGTGGATGATCTTGCACACCCTCAAATAAATTTCCAATCATAGTCCTCATGAGAGCATCCCCAATTAATAGTATTTAATAGGTTAAACTTAATCATAATGGATGTTTGTGTTTTTGTTTAATTGATATGAAGTTCCTCACCAAAATCTTCAATGGGAGAGATAAAACTTTTTTAAATTTAAAGTAAATATTATCTTGAACTTTTGTGAAGTTCATCTTGAACTTTTGTATTAGAATAATAAGAAAAATAAAATAATTATGTGTCAATCTATTAAAATATATAACATACAGTGTATTATAGATGCCTACAAGTTTTGAATATATATATATATATATATATATATATATATATATATATATATATATATAAAAGTCCAAAATCACACCTAATGCTTTCTAGCGATGGCTCGTGAACCAAATATCACCTAAGCCTAAGGCTATACAAGCCACAAGACACACTCGTGGCATATAATACCGGTGCCACGACTGTGGTGGTTTGTGGAGAGTGGCACGAGATGTTCGGACAGTCAGACCAATTCCATCTCTTTCTCTCTCTTCTTCTCTCTTGCAACTCTCTTCCTCTTATTATCATCTCTTCTTCTTCGTTGGTGGTTTGTGGTTGTGTCGTTTGCTGATCTAGAAGCTAGCTCTCCGCACTCTTTGGCGGCGTGGGGGAGTATACCCTGCGGCCTAATAAACAAATTGACCAACATGCATTGATCGGTTCTTGGACAACTCTAAGGGCTTCCGGTCGGTCTTAAAAAGATAGAGAAGGAAAATACATCATCAATAATTATTTACTTGCATTCATTTATTTAAGATTTCAACACAATATTATTATACATTATAAACAATATGCTCATGGGGTTATTTGATTTAATTTCTAGTCTAGAATGATTTTTTGGGTGGTATTTTGGCAAAATCAAGGGTTTTCTTGCCTTGCAGCTTGTTGGTTACATAGTGTCTACTGTACTCTCCATGATTGTATCTTCTATACTTGCTATGGTTGTTCTCATCCACCATTTCTGGCATTGGACCTATCTCTATCTCATAACTTGGAGCGTAAAAAGTCACAATCGACAGTCGATCGTTCTCTTTGTGTGTCACTGCTCTATGTTCTGAGCTCTTGTATCTCCCATTCGTCAAAACCTGTTAACATCAAGATCAATCTATCTTCAGTTAATTCTGATCATGCCAAAGATTCTTGAAAGAATAGTTACTTTACCTCTATGGTGTCACCAATGTTAATCACAAGTGCATTTGTAACAGGTTGAATTGGAACCCACGTATTGTTTTTGAGTATTTGGAGGCCAACAGTGCTGCCCTTACCTTGTTGCAGCACTGTGAGAGCGCTTCCATCTGAGTGGGGGCTTAAACCCAATACAAGGTCGGGTCTAGGACATGCTGGGTAGTAGTTCATTCTCATCGCTTGCACACTCTCCCCAAACATATCTTCGAAAACATTGCCTCTAAGCCCAAGACTTAATGCTATAAATCTTAGAAGATCTTTACATAGCTTTCTGATCTCTCTCGAGTAAGTCTCTACAGTGTCACTGCAAAACATAAACTTCCTTTGTAAAAGTATTCAATGGTCGTAAAGTACCAAAGTTAAATGTGCTTTCTTGATATGGCAATGTTTCGAGTCCTAATTATTTTATATAGAAAACACTTTGAATTTTATGGTCAAAACATCAAATTGTAAATTTCTCTTGTGTTATTTACTATTTAGCACAAAAAAGGTTGTTGAGTGTTTATGTTTTTTTTGTGAAGTCAAAAAAATGGAGAAATTAGACCTTTAACCTAGAAGTCAAAGGTTCTCTCTCTTTTTTAGTGGAGAATTACCTAAACATTGGTGGGTTGGTTGGCCAAAGTTTTGGGTTTCTTATGGAGTGAGGCACTAGTCCAAGAGCGAACATATTGCACCAGTCTAACTTTTGATCCTCTGAGAACACAAAAGCTTGCCCATATCCCTGAACAGTTCCTGGTGCCATTGGATACTTTTGTTTCTCTTCCACGGGAAGCATAAAGAACTCCATGGCTACTTTCTCTATCTTCTTCAGCAGATCAAGATCAATCCCATGGTTTATCACCTGCATGTAGAGACACAACCAATATATATATGGTCACATAAGAATGACCCTGTTGCATTTAATTCAACTCCTTTACTCCGCATGCAAGTGTTACAATACAATAGTTCTCTTACAAGATGCTAATATGCTTTTTAAAAGCTTTACCTTTCGTTAATTACTTAAACAAAAAGTACCTTTTTAAGAGAGTAACTTTATACCTGAAAAAAACCCCACTCGTCACAGGAAGCTGAGAGCTTCATGATTTCAAAGTGAAAATCTTCTTTGTTTCCTTTCATGAGTTTTGAAAGATCAATGACTGGTATACTAGTCGACAAGGGTGATTGGGTTGTTGCTACCGCTGGCCTTTCAGCCACATCGCGAACAAACCTGTTCGGAATTTTGGTTTTTCGGGCCTTCTTCAATTCCTGAACATCGTCTATTAGGCCTACATTAATAGGGAAATCGAGTACAGGAGCCATGGTTATAAGAAGTTTATAGAGAGGTTACAAATGAACTCAGGTTTGCTAAGTAACCTCGGTTTGATGGCTTTTCCGTTTCTACAATGCAAGTATTTATAGAGAGGAAAGTCATGATTTTGTTACGCACTTTAAAGACTCTACAATGCATGTGGGATGACGTATTGGCCCATGCTTTGCACTTTAAAGATTTCATCAACACTTTATGTAATTTGGGTTCTCAATCACTGGTTCCAATTTTACCCCACCTAGTGTATAATGAAAAAAAAAAAAACAAAAAACAAAAAAAACATTTGACTCCATCTATGCGGACCAAATCTAGCGTGACGTTGTCATCATTATTTTATTCATTCCTAATACATTGGTGAATGGTGTTGAAAATAAATTTTGTTGATGATGATATTGAAGTGGAGAATTATATTATTCTTCTTTTTTTACAAAAATAAAGTAAACACCAATATATATAATATCTATATATATATATATATATATATATATATATATATATATATATATATATATATTGTGATGATGATATTAAAGTGGAGAATTATATTATTCGTACTTTTTTTTTACAAAAATAAAGTAAACACCAATATATATATATATATATATAATATATATATATATATATATTATATATATATATATATATATTATATATATATATATATATATATATATATATATATAGAGGTATCCGGTAGAATCCCAAAAATTGATATGAACCGCGAAGATTATTCTCCATCAATCATTTCGTCAAATGCACAAACGCCAAACTTATTTATTTGGTCGTGACGCGTTTGCACGCGGCGCACATGCATGGAACGCAATACGGACTCGAGGAATAATTATATGCGACGAACGTCCATAAAACGTTATTTAAATGTGTTTTCCTTTTCTTTTTCATTTATTTTGGTATTTTTTCGGTATTTTTTTTTTATTAAAAAAATTCAGAAAAAAATTAAATAGATATATGCTCGGTTTTAACGCTTTTTTATTTTTTTTACATTTTTTTAAAGTTATTAATTTTTTTTTTCATATTTTTACTACAAACTTGAAGATAGTAAGGTTTTTTATTTATTTTTGTTTTTATTTTATGATTTTTTAGTATTTTTTTTAAACTAAATATCGTTTTGAGTTTTTTAATGTTTAACAATTATAAAATTTTGAATAAGAAAAATATTAAGGATCATAATATTTTTCGTTCATACTTTTTTGGAATCATATTAATTTTGGGTCATAAAATTTTGAATTATGGTATTTTAAATCATAATGATATTATGCATCATATATTTTTGGATCATATTGATATGGATCATAATATATTGAATTAAATAAAGTTATTGTTCAATACAACACTTGGATCTTTATATATATATATATATCTATATAGATATTATATATATATATATATATATATATATATAATATATATATATATCTATATATATATATATATTTAATCATTAATTTTACATCATATAAAATAAAATAATTAAGGATCATTAAATATTTTGATCAAAATATTTTTAGAACATAAACATATTTAATCATAAATATTTTGAATCATCTCTATTTGGATCATGTTATGTTCAATATTTTTTTTTAAAAACTTATTAATCTTTTAAATCAAGTTTGGTATCTAAAACATTTCATTTTTTAAAATTTTTTTACAAAGTCATTAGAATAGTGAGTAGAAGTATTCCTTAAATTTTTTAGTTTTGGAAAAAAAAATTCTGGATTTTTTATAAATATAAAAAAAATCAATTTTTAATGATTGTGCTTATTTTGTAGAGAATTAAATTTTAAAAACTTCTATTTTTAGAATCTTTTTTACCAAAGAGAAAAAAGCTATGACCAAAAAACTAAGCGGGTAAAAAAAACTCACCAGCCAATGAGGACTGGACACTTGTCATGCTGGGTGGGGGCACATGTCATCGCCTGGGGAGACACATGACCAAATTTTTTTTCTTTTTTCTTTTAATTTTTTTGCTTTTGTCAGTTGTACCTTCCAAACGATTAACCTTCCCTAGAAATTATTAAAATCTCGCAATTAATTACGAAAATATTATATCATCTCATGGGATTTTAACAATAAAAAAAATCAAATCCTGGCTATTTATTTTTTTAATCTTAAGGCCAAAATTTGTTATCACGGTTCCAAAAACACGTGATGAATATAATTTTTTATTGGGCGGTTTACATTTGGTGGACGTTTATTTTTAATATATTGACCGAAGAAATTGAATATATATATATATATATATAGAGAGAGAGATAGGTTCAAATGTTTCTAACAATTATTGTGTGCCTAAATGCACCAATGAGACTTCAAGAAATAACAAATAATTAAATAAATTATTTAAGAGTATTTTGGACATTTTGTACTTTTAATTAAGGAAATCATTTAATTGAAATCCTGCAATTAAGGAAATAAAGTAAATATATTTGACCTAGTCATGTGTGGTAGAACACGTTCATCATTAGCATCAACACCATCACCATAACCGCTGCCCACTTTCTCTCTTCGCATCCATTTCGTCGAAGCAATCAAGCCTTAATCGAGATTGACATGAAGCACGCGATTAAGATTTGTATCGACAATTATAATGAAGAGTGTATG